GTGCCATCAGGATTGGTCAAACTGGGATAATGATGGAGGTTCTAGAATGGAGGTTGAAAGTGCTATCAGAGCCCCTAAATTCACACCATGCAGGGACAGCATAGTTGATGGTTTCAGGGAGTTTATATCTCTTCCCGGCACTGTATGAACATCTTCCTTCTGGCCAAAGGCAATTTCTTTCTTTAAAGTATTTACAGTCAATGCTCTATCCAGAGAATCTTGAAACAAGCTTTGGGCATCCTGACTCTCAGAAGATGGTTACTTTTAAGTTAATGCTGGTTCATAACTGTAACAAACATTGACATGCTTTATTTCGGTATCACACTTATTTATATTGAAGCTTCCTCTCTTGATCTGTCTACCACAGGCTGCTCGCAACTGCTTGGTCAATGAACAAGGGGTGGTCAAAGTGTCTGATTTCGGCCTTTCCAGGTGAGTTTTGGTGCCAATGGGTCTGCAGGTTGGGAAAGTTGCCCAGGCTGAGAAATCTTCTGTTTTCCTCAATGGACTGGGAGCCACTTGAGTTATTGGCTTGAGGATTACAGCGTCAAGTTGCCCAACCCAACCTTCTCCTTGTAGGTATGTCTTGGATGATGACTACATCAGCTCTGTGGGAACCAAATTTCCTGTCCGGTGGTCTCCTCCAGAAGTTCTTCTCTATAGCAAGTTCAGCAGTAAATCGGACGTCTGGGCTTTTGGTGAGCATAATATATGAATCAGAACAGAGCTGGAAGGGATCTTGGAGGTCTTCTAGTCCAGCCCCCTGCTCAAGCAGGAGATCTTATAGCATTTCAGACAAGTGACCATTCAGTCTCTTCTTTAAAACCTCCAGTGATGAAGCACCTACAACTTCCGGTGGCAAGCTGTTCCACTGATCACTTGTCCTCACTGTTAGGCAGTTTCTTCTTAATTCCAGGTTGCTTCTCTCCTTGATTAGTTTCCACCCATTGTTTCTTGTTCTTCCTTTAGGGGCTTCGGAGAATGACTTGACTTCCTCTTCTTTGTGGTAGCCCCTCAAATACTGATCATGTCACCCCAGTCCTTCTTTTCTTTAGACTAGCCATACCCAGTTTCTACAACTGTTCTTCATATGGTTTTATCTCAAGGCCTTTAATCTTCTCAGTTGATCTTCTTTGCACTTTTTCCAAAGTCTCAACGTCTTTTTTGTAACGTTGTGTGACCAAAACTGGATGCAGTATTCCAGGTGTGGTCTTACCGAGGCTTTATAAAGTACTGCTTTATAAACTATGGGCACAGAAGATGATGTGTCAGAGCGGGAAACCATCATGGCTGATGAATGAAATGACAACATATTCTTGGCCACAGAGTGTGCCATTGACAAGGGTCCCAGATCCCATAAGGCAGAGGTGTTCCAATGCAATTGTTTGGCACCCACTTCTAAGTGGATGGGAGATTAGAATCCAGGAACTTTGTCCATCCAGTTGTAGCTACATGAGAATAAAATCTCTCAATCTCCAGTGAATGTACATAACAGCACTTAGCAGTAGCACTTAGACTTATATACCGCTTCACAGTGATTTACAGCCCACTCTAAGTGGTTTACAGAGTCGGCCTCTTGCCCCCCAACAATCTGGCTCCTCATTTTACCGACCTCGGAAGGATGGAAGGCTGAGTCAACCTTGAGCTGGTCAGGATCAAACTGCTGGCAATGGGCAGAATTATCTGCAATGCTGCATTCTAACCACTGGGAGAGAAGGAAGGGAGGGAGGGAGGGAGGTATAACACTTAAGACTTATATACCGCTTCACAGCCCTCTCTAAGCGGTTTACAGAGTCAGCCTATTGCCCCCAACAATCTGGGTCCTTATATTACTGACCTCAGAAGGACGGAAGGCTGAGTCAACCTTCAGCCTGGTGAGATTTGATCTGCCAAATTGCAAGCAGCCGGCAGTCAGCAGAAGTAGCCTGCAGTACTGCTTTCTAACCACTGCTGCCACCACCAGGCTGGACTTAACAACCACAACTGAACCCAAAAGTCCCCCCGCTAAGAAAAAGTCAGTTGTTAAGTGAGATTTTTGCCCCATTTTACAACATTCCTCGCCACCGTTGCTTAGTCAATCACTGCAGTTGCTAAGTACGTAACATTAAGTAAATCCAGCTTCCCCGTTGACTTTGCTTGTCAGAAAATTGCAAAAGGGAATCACGTGACCCTGGCACACTGCAACCATCATAAATATGAATCAGTCGCCGAGTGTCTGAATTTTGATCAGGTGACCATGGGGATGTGGCCACGGTTGTAAATGTGAAAAATTGTCATTTTTTTCCAGTGCCGCTCTAACTTTGAAGGGACACTAAATGGGTGGTCGTAAGTTGAGTAATACCTGTATGGTTTTTGTCCCATTCACACAAGCGCCTTGTGCAGAAGGGACCCAAGACCTTGTGGTGCAGAGGCCAGGAATTGAGTGGCATTTCAGAAGAGGTTAAAACTAGCAGTGTTGCCCTGACCCCACGTTCTGTGATGTTTTCGCCATGGACAGGTGTCCTGATGTGGGAAGTCCACACTTTGGGGAAGATGCCCTACGAGAGGTTCACCAACAGTGAGACCACCGACCATGTCCTCAAAGGGCTGCGTCTCTACCGACCCCAGCTGGCCTCTGACAGGGTCTACGCCATCATGTACAGTTGTTGGCATGAGGTAAGCTTCCGTCTCGTTCATCCCAGGGATGAGGAGGAAGTGTGACTAAATATCTCTTTCCTGAAGGGGCGAAGAAGCGTTTTTCAAAGGCTCCAATGTTGGAAATGAATGATCTCTGGATGCTTCAAAAGAAATTGGTGTCAGATGTCACTTTAGGTGTGCTGTTATGTAGTGACAGACCTTTCCAAGGTCTCTTTTTTTTTTAGGCATTCCACGGAGAGGGGCCTTATCTTTTAAGCGCTTAAAAAGAAGATTCTTTGTCCATCTCTTTTAGAAACTGTTTTATATAAGTTATTTCCTCTCTCTTTTTTCTTCCAGAAAGCAGAAGAACGTCCAAGTTTCCAAGTCCTCCTTGGGCAAATTATGGATTTAGCGAATGAAGATGTTTGATCCCCATCGGTCACCCAATGTTCATTTTCCCCTGTGAATTGTTGCCACGTTCTTCAGTTTGCTGAGGAATTGCTGAATGGACACGGTGAAAAACAGAATCAGCAAGAAGGCAATCACAACCAAAATAGTTCGATCGATTGAGAACTGTCTCCAAAACTGCCTTTTACTCACCTTTGTGTTTGTCTTCGAAGCCAGCCAAAACTAACAAGACTAGCAAGTGCTGTTTAGGTGTTTTCCTATCCAGCAAGATAAGGTGCAGTTTGATCATCCCATTTCCAAGTCAGCCGAAAAGAAAACCAGCATGAAATTGTTTGTCTTCATTTCTGATCTCTGACTCACCTCAGTCTCTGCCTTCCCATCACGATCATGCGTGCCAAACCCTCACAGATTTTGCCCACCTGGAGATTAACCTTGGATTACAAGAAAAATCCTGCTTAGTGTTCAATAGGATGAAAACCCCTGTTGGAATGGAACAGGAAAAAAAAACTATGATTACAGGCAAATGGCAGAGGCTTTTGGTAAAAGAATACCTAGGTCTTCCAAAATCACTTGAAACAAGATAATGGGATTTAATAAACGACGGAGAACACAGCTGTTTCAAAATGTCTTGTGCAGTGATGGATAAAAATGCAAAGAAGCGATAGGAAAAATGAATTGCATTTCATAAAGAGAAAATAAACTCCTTTGCTTCATCACCTTCCTGGATTCTTGTTGACTTGTTCACTGGTGCTTCGTTCAACGTGAAGGTCTCTTTTTAATTTTTGTTTACTGTAAAAGTCATCTGATTAATCTTATCATCCCAAATATTCTCTTCCCCAATAAATCACATTCAACATGCTGAAAAACGGGTAAAAATTGATACAATACAGAACGGATAGAGCAGTGCAATGCGCGAGACTTCACATCAAACTAGTGATACCTGAAGTCTGTTTCGCTCTGAAGCAGTGAGAAAATAGAACAGGGAAGTAGTAACAGGAAGAATTCGCCACAGGATGTGTTGTAGAGCAAACTGCTTTTTTTTTTTTTTTTGCAAGAGATACTAAGCAGATTTTGAAAACAAGCTCACAAAATTTAGACTTCCAGTTATTATTGGTACTTATAAGTTTTTTCCAACTCTCTCATCTATCAATTTGCTCTCTCTCTCACTTGCATGGAAATCCTGCTCATTTAGAGCTGGCCGGTGAGCTATAAAACCAAACGATACAGAGGCATCGTAGGCGTAGAGAATATGTATACAACATGCAAAGTCAAGGCTGCGTTCTTAAAATAGCTTTTGAAAAAATAGCTTTTTTAAAATGCATTTTGTTTGGTTCTGATTTAATACAGGAAATCTTTGTATTCCGGAACACAATGCTTTAGATGTGATGAAGCAAATTTGATTTGATATTAAAATGTCGTTATTATTATTTATTTGCTTGGCTTTGAAAAGAAAAGTATAAAAACAAAGCATTAAAAAAAATCGGTAGGAACCTCTTTTAGATGGGCTCCCTTTATCGGGTTTGTTCTTTTTATATATAGTGTCAAACCAATGTAATTACAGTGGCTCTACTATATTGTAATTTTATATATGTGTGTGTGTGTGTGTGTGTGTGTGTGCTGGGACTATATATGTGTGTGTGTGTGTGTAGTTTACTTCATTGTCATTGCACCTCGTACAGTGAAATTAAATACCACCTTGTTTACATTATAACTATAAAAATAAAACAAAAAATTCTATACAATTGAACTGAAAACCCCTGATATTGCATTAATATTGCACTGTACAATAGAATTCATATTCTACTGTTTAGAGATACATAGATATAGATATAAATATATAGATATATATGATACACACACAGAATACAATAGGGCCACTGTAATTACATTGGGTTGGCCCTCGTCGAGCGAGTACCGCTCCATCCCTAGAGAGGGCACCCCAACGCCTAATTTCCTCTTCCCTCTCCTACACCCCCCCTTTTTTTTCTCTCCTTCCCTGCCCGTCTTGCCGCTTCTCTCTCGGATGCTCCGCCGGAAAACGGAAGCGCGCGCCGGCCGGAAAAAGAAGGAGAGGAAGAAGCGGGGCGCCGGGCGCGCATGCGCGGAGGGGCCGGCCCCGGGGAGGCACGTGAAGGTCGCCCGTCCTGCCCGCTCCATCCATTCAGCCGCCCGCGCTCTCTCTCCTTCCCAGCCGGGCCCGGCATGGACCCGTCGTCCGTCGCGGGGGACTTGGGGGCCGCCGTCAACGACCCGCAGCTGCAGCATTTCATCGAGGTGGAGACGCAGAAGCAGCGCTTCCAGCAGCTCGTGCACCAGATGACGGAGCTGTGCTGGGTAGGGAGGCAGGGCCGGCGGAACTCCCTGCCACTGGAGGAGGAGGGAGGGGAAAAAGGGACCCCGCTAGTACGGGGGTGGTGGTGGGAGTTTGGAGCCCCACGCTTACGTTGCTAAGCGAGACATTGAGGCTAAGTGGGGTTTTGTGGGGGGGTTTTGCCCCATTTTTCTTGCCACGGTCGCTAAGTGAATCACGGCGGGGGTTAAACGAGTACCGTGGCTATGAAGTGAATCTGATATTGCCCTCCTTCCCGCCTCCCCCCAATTGGCTTGGCTTGTGAGAAGGTTGCAAAAGGGGATCCGGGATGTTGCAACCGTCGTAAGTCTGAGTCAGCTGCCAGGTGTCTGAATTTGGATCAGGTGATTGTGGAGAGGCTGCAAACGGTTGGAAAAGCGGGCATGAGCCACTCTTTTCCGCGTCTTCCCTAAACTAACTGTTGGAAGTGGAGAATGACCTGTAGCCCAAAAGTGCTTCTTTCCCCTTTTTTTTTCTCAAGGAGGCAAGACTGGATTGTCTTTTTTTTTTTTAAGACATTTTGCTTCTCATCCCAGAAGCTTCTTCAGCTCTGACTGGATGGTGGGGAATGGAAGGATTTATACTCCTTGCAGACAGCTGGTCATTTGCATCCTTTTAGAGGGGCATTGAGGCCACTTGGAGCTTCATCTGTGTCCTCAACAACCCTCTAAAAGGGTGCAAATGACCAGCTGCCTGCAAGGAGTATAAATACCATCCAGTCAGAGCTGAAGAAGCTTCTTGGATGAGAAGCAAAATGTCTTCAAAGAAAAACCAAGAGAGTCCAGTTGCCTCTTGGGAAAAAAACACCTTTGGGACAACGGTGCCCTGGATGACGGAGGATCTCCTTAGTCAGAACTACCTATAGTTCTCCCCCACAAGGGACACTCTCGATTTGTCCTCCTTGGGGTAAAGGGGCGTTGGAGCCATTATTGGGCCAGCCCTTCCCTACCCCCTGAGGCTCGCCGGCGCTTCTGCAGTATCCCCCAAAATGTGGGGCGTACCAGCTTTGAGTAGGCTGGAATAGAGCCTCCAGGGTCAGGAGCAGTCTCCTAGGAGTGGAGTTCTGGCTGCTGCTGGCAATAATAGGGTGATTCTACAGGGAGAGGAGCTCTTAGCTTTGTGCCAGGCAGGCTTCTGGGTGGCATCTAGGAACCAGGAAGCTGCCCTGAGTGGCACTCTTCTACGTCTTATATTGAGAGCTCCTGGCATGCTCATACTTACAGTTTTACCAATTTGGCCTTTTAATGTGCGTTATGGTTCTATCCACGCTTTTCCTTGGAAGGCTCAAAGAGGCTTAGATGGGGGTTTCCCCTAATTGGATTCACGCAACAGCCCTGTTTAAAGACCGCTTATGGTTCAGGGTCATCCAATGAGTTGCGTGATCCAGTGGGTCTCCCCCGGAACTGTTTCTGCCGCCACATCAGACTATTACAAATACCGAGCACCACGTCAGTGTTACCGATCCGACTGTTGAAACCCACTCTTGCTTCTTTGAGCAAAACTAGGGTAACTTTCTTCTAACAATGTCACCCAATCTGCTCATCTGCTGGATTGGCAAGTGGCTGGCTGCCTCCCCCCCCTTTCTATCTATCTATCTATCTATCTATCTATCTATCTATCTATCTATCTATCTATCTATCTATCATCTATCAATCATCTATCTGTCATCTATCTGTCATCTATCTATAATCTATAATCTATCATCTACCTACCTATCATATCTATCGTATCTACCTACCTACCGTATCTATCATCTACCTACCTACTGTATCTATATCTTCTATCATCTATCTATCTATCTATCTATCTATCTATCTATCTATCTATCATCTATATCTATTTATCGATCACCTATCATCTATCTGTCATCTATCATCATCTACCTACCATATCTACATACCCACCTATGACTATCTCTATCATCTACCTATCTATCTATCTATCTATCTATCTATCTATATCTAAATACATAAGTGTTACAAATTGTGCTTGTGGGTAGTTTTTCTTTGTGGGTAGAAACAAGTCTGGGTACAGTTGGCAGCAATATGGATAGGGAAAGAAAGAAAGAAAAGAAAAAGAAAGAAAGAAAGAATAGATTTATGTATTTTTGCTAGTCACGGGTCTGAAATGATGCGTTCCCCCTTGCTATTGATTGACTTCTCTTTTGTGACACTAAACAGGAGAAATGCATGGATAAGCCTGGCCCCAAGCTGGACAGCCGAGCCGAGACTTGCTTTGTGAACTGTGTCGAGCGTTTCATTGACACCAGCCAGTTTATTCTTAACCGGTTGGAGCAGACGCAGAAATCTAAGTCGCCGTTCTCCGAAAGCCTCTCTGACTGAGCGGAAAGCCTTTGGTGGCGCTGTTTTCTTCCGTTTGAAAAGGAGGACGCTGTTTTGAAATGGAAGGGGAGGAGAAAGAACCGAAGGAAGGATTTTTTAACAACAATAAGCTGTGAGGGAGCTTGGCCCCACGTTTGCAATGGACTTCAGAGCTCCCTGGTCACCTAGTCTAGTTCTGGTGTTAAAAAATGCCCCCGCTGGGTGAACATGAATAACCATGCAACATCGCACACCAGCTATTTAACCCGGACGTCTGCTATCCTAGATTGTAACATTTTTTTTCTTTTTCTTCACCTGGATAATAGGAGCTTCGTGCCAGAATGGTGGCTTGATTATCTTTACTCAGAAGTAAGGGGGGGAAAAGCACACCCCTTGAAACTTGAAAAATGTTCTTTTTTGAGATAAGGGGAGAGGCCTGAGATACTAACGCAGCTGTGGGTAAACGTGCCTTTTAAAACGGTACTGTGCATAAGCATGGCTCTTTTAAACAATCCAAATGTCGCTGGCTTGAATTTGCAGCCAAATTAAACCTTTGTAAAAACACAGGTGGATCTTGCGGTTGGACAGAGGGACACGGGGATTAGGTTGCAAAAGGATGCCAGTAGAAACCTGTTGTCTTTCGTGAGGTGTTTTTCAAAACCTACCTCAGCACAGTAGAAAGAAACACCACCCCCCCTCCTCCAGACGTGTGGCTGTTAAGAAGGGTTATCGCTCATGTGGTCATGTATGTCTCTTTTGCCAAGTACAAAAAATAAATCAAATCTTGACTTTCTACATCAAATTCCTTGCCTCCTGATCAGTGGAATAAACATCAATTGGATGCATTTTAAACTCTGGAGTCGGTGGTCCTTCCTTCCAGCTCGCCGAACTTTTGATGTAGAGCAAGGGGGTCTTCAAACTTGACAGCTTAAAACTCACAGAATTCCTCCTCCGGTCATGTTAGCTCAGGAATTCTGGGAGTTGGAAGTGCACAAGTCTTAACCTTGCCAAGTTCGAAGACCCTTGACATAGAGGGAATGCTTTTTAGTAGCAACTACATGTTCCAGCCTAACCTTCCTAAAAGTGTGGCTCTCAAAGCGAGTTAGATTTAAATTCTGGATTCGGCATCAATCTGAGAATGAGTTCCTGGTCCTTTATAGAACTAGAATGTTAAGTGTTCTCATTTTGCATTCAAATCATATCTTGCAATTGACCTATTGCTGGCCAATTCATAAAGCAGGGAGCATGTAGTGTCTTAACTACTGGTTTTAATTGCTCCTTGTCTGCTGACTGGGAATGTATGGCTCCAAGAAAGTTGCAGAGCTTGCTGGCCCTGCTGATTTCATCAAGAGTGGTAAAGTCATTTGATATGTGAGGCGAAGAATTTTTGGAGATATGAATGTAAATATGAGAAGTTTTCATCAGGTTTCTGCTATAAATTAATTCACTAGCTTAGACATGTCTTAACTGTTCCAGATTCCAGAGGGATTGCTGTATTGGGCTGCAGTGACTGATAAAAATACAGGCTAAGAGAAACATTTATCTTGCAACTGAGTCTTGGTATCCTTAAACCCGACACATGCTAAAGGTTTATTCTGTGGTGATCTCTACACTTTCACAAATTACCCCACCAGGCTTGTTAATTATTATGTTTTTCTCTTTTTCACGGTTTTATCGTGCCACCCGAGTGAAAACCAGAAAATTATGGAGGGAAAAAAGTCCCACTTTCCAACAATTCATAAATGCAATCACTAAATTTACTAACCTTCAAAAACGTTTAGAAGGGAGATCTTGGTACGTGGGAACAGGAGTGGATTTATCCCCACTTTGAATGTGGTTAACTCTGGCTGATTGGTACAAAACTCATTTTTGCCTGGCTGCCATATTGTTGTTCCCAAAACTGACATTACAGTATACATGTAAAAGCTGTTTTCTAGGAACAACTAAGAAAACTTTATTTTGGGTAAATGATTGGATGGAACCAAGCTGAATAAAAAGGTAATGAGCTGGAAACTTAAGAGGCAGCCTTTGTTATCACAGATCAGGAATTTAGGACTGGTATCCTGACTTATACTGGTTTGGACTAGTAGTTTCACTTTCTAGCCTGAAGTCTTAAGGCTTGGTTTTCCTAAATCTTCAAAGGAACAACAGTCTACACAATCACTTTTCTACACTTAAATGGCCAATCACCCAGCCTACATTTTGTGCCGCTGCTAGAATGAAAAACAGCAAGGGGATTTAGGAATTCACAGATTGCCAACACAAAAATTAGATGGCGGTATAAGCCCATTCCTGGACATGAAATAAGGGACTGGTTTTGGGTTTTTTTTGGAAGGAAAAAAAATAACAAGCCAAAGAAACATATTTGAAAAATATTCTTTAATAACGCTTTTAAAAGTCACATTTTACATTTGCAACACACCTTATAGTCATATAAAGAAAATACTTTATTTTAAATAATTCGTAAAGTTTTAAGGCAAAGCCTAGAAGGCTTTGTTACATTCAAAAGGCAGCAGAATACTTTACTGGATTCAGAAAGCAGCAGTAAGAATTTTTTTTTTTTTAAATCTTCAGGGTAAAAAAGTTTGCGAACACATTTCAATAGGCCTGTTGCTTATTTTTCCATGTGTGCCTCGTTTAAAGAGCTATACACTCCCTTTATGGTTACTCTGCCTTCCAACATCCGTTCCATTTTCTTTTCCTCTGCATTCTTCCAGTTCATATCTCACTCAAGTGAAGGAAGGGGGGAAAAATGCCTTTTCCATGTTCCTCTCTGCCCTGATGTCAGTCTCTTGCTCCTATCCCTCTTCTCCGGGGTGCCTCTTCCATTCCCAGGATGGGACAAGATTACTTGCCCATTCTTGAGCTCATGGAGGTATTCGTATTTTTAAAACAATACATCCATAAGCGCATCACCGACCACTTTTTAATATATATATGCTTTCAACATATCCCCAGGTCCCATCCACATACACAAAACTTGCTGTGCTCTGTTCTGGAAGCTGGAAAGAAAGAAGCCAACCCCCAGAGCCACTACTAGCCGTATCAGCTCGAATCTAATAGGACTACCGTCAAGCATGCTCCCAGTAAAAACACTTATTTTTGTAAAGAAACGGTTCCCAAATAGTTCTGCATTGCCGCTGGGGGGAAAAAAATTTCTCCGGGGAGAAGGAAGTTTTAGAAACTTCCGAAAGAGCTTAAATGATTTTTAAGTCAACCTTTTAGCTTTCATAAGCATTGAATGTCTTGCTCCTCAGGTTTGTCTCCTTTCTCCGAGTCCTCTGAATCCAGAAGAGGCTGGTGAAGACATGACCGGTTTTTGTCTCCCTCCCTCCACGAAGCCCCGGGTAGATCTTTCTGCTTAGGTCTCAGGAAAACGGGCAGCAGATCGGCGGAGAACGGGACGTCCCTGAAAGCGTGGAGAAGGAAGATGCCCAGCACGATGGTAAGGAAGCCGCTGATGGTGCCGACAATGTTCATGAGGACCAGGTGCTGCCACTCTTTGAATAGAATGGCGGAGCAGGTCATGACGGCGGTGGTGAAGAGGACGTAGTAGATAGGGGTGACCACGGAGGTGTTGAAGATGTCCAGGGCCTTGTTCAGGTAGTTGATCTGGATGCCGATGCAGACCGCCAAGCTGAGGAAAAGCGCCCAGCCCAACGGTTCTTTCCAGACGGCCTTCCCGGCAAACAGCTCCTTCAGGGCGATGCCCAAGCCTTTGACGCAAGCGACGGAGAGCGAGCCGATGGACGAGCAGATCAGAATGTACACCAGGACGTTCCTCTGCCCGTAGCGAGGCCCGGCCACGAAGATGAGAAGCGCCGAGCTCACCAGCACGCAGGTGGCGAAGACAATGAATCCTGCGAGAGGAAGGAAAATAAGAAGGCGGTTCACGTCTCGGACTCCGCTGCTGCTGTTGTCGGAAGTTTAGAACAGCACTGGGAGAAGTGACTTATGGCCTGTGATGACCCGGAGTATAACACAAATGTAACAAAATCCAAAACATAAATAAATGTCCTTTAATGCCTCCAACTTGGCCCCACTGTTCAAATAATTCTCCGTTGGAGATAAAATGTATTCAAAAATAGTCTTCAAAAGAAAGCAATACAGTCCGAACTTAATGAGCAGATAGAGGTGTAATAAAATAAACTACAGTGAAGGAATTTCCACAACGGACCAGGATAAGTAATTATCAACTTCAAGGAGATAACAAGGCACAGTCTGTTGGAAGGATGCCAGTCAAGGTAACTTCAGCCCAGAATAAAACATGCTTTGCTTCTGGCAATGCTGTGTTTTAACCGTCTCTCTTACATACTATTCTCCCCAACTGCAACCAATGAGGGGGATCATGGCCGCTTCCTCTCTTGCAAGCCAAGTTGTTTCCTTCTCCGTTCCTCCCTGTGTGCCCTAGGATGAAGAGGGGATGGGCCTGGTTCTTCCTGACTGCCCAGCCGGCCTCTGCCCTTCCCCAGCCTCCTCCACAACCTCCGGAGCCACACCTCCACTCCCTGTCGGCTGTTCCTCCTCTCCCTCAGAATCCGACTCTAACAAGGGCATGACACAACCATTCTTCATGCTTATAACCGTTGCAGCATTCCCCCGGTCACGTGATCCAAATCCAGACTTTTGGCTACTGGAATGTATTTATTTGCAGTGTCCTGGGGTCGTGTGAACCATTTTTGCGACCTTCTGACAAGCAAAGTCAATGGGGAAGCCGGATTTACTTAACAACCATGCTAATAACTTCACAACTGCAGTGTGTCAGGGTTCCGACGGATGCCCTAATTAATTCATGAGCCTCAAGCCAAGCTTCAAAAGAAATCCAATTATTTACTAGGAGCAACATGCCAGGCACTTTTCCCCCCCGCTCTGTCCTACATAATTTACCACCCACCTATGACCCTGTTTCCCCCCTCCTCCCAGGGTGTGTCATAAATCACATTCTCCAACCGAGAAGCACGCCTCTCTGGCTAGCTCTGGTAACCTGGGACACAACCTGTAGAAAGGTATGCATGGAATGTGCTTCTGGTCATAGCAACCTAACTGCTCCATCAGATCTCCCCCCCCTCTTCCTTCTTATGGCAACTCGAGAGCAGACCAGGAATGCTTTGCAAGTTGACACAGTGATTCACTTAAGAACAGTGGCAAGGAAGGTCGTAAAATGGGGCAAATCTCACTTAACAACGGTACTGGCTTTGCAACAGAAATTTTGGGCTCAATTGTGGTCATAATTTGAGGACTGCCTGCATAGGAAACAGGCTTTCCGTACCTGGATCCTTCAGTTTCTCTAACATGGAGTCCAGACTGGCAACCGTTTCCTCTTGCGGAGCATGGATCACCATGACGGTAGATCCCAAAATGCTCAGGAGGCACCCAATCTTTCCATGGATGTTCAGCTGCTCGTTCAGGAAATAGGAGGCTAAAACCGCACTTTAGGACGAAAGAAAGAACAAGATTAGTTTGCGTGAAGAGAAAAAACACCACCACAGAGATGGCCCTGAACGTTAAGGCGTCAGTCATCTCTAAGATATGTCCGACAACATGAATCTGAGCGCTAGCACTGAGGATGTTCCCTAGTTGGGTCATATAACATTTGCAAAAAAACAACCAAGCTCAGGGGGCACCAAGGACCCCACAGTCCTCCTCCTTTCCTCAAATCCCTCTTCCTTCTAAGCACTGATGATGTTCCCAAGTTGGGTTGTGAAACTGCAAGAAAACAACCAAGCTCAGAGAGCACCGACCCCTCCTGTCAACCCCAAGCTAGAAATATTCTCCTTTATGAGATGAACTTACCTGACTAAAACACTAAGGGCTCCTAGAGGAGTAACCAGCGTGGCTGGGGCGAAAGCGTA